GATAATCTGAAAATCTAAAAATTGTAAAAATGAAAGATTTGCAAATTGTAAATTTGACAAACTGTATGTAACGTAATTTCAATTTTGGAGATTTATTAGTTCTGTATTTTGGAAAGATGAAAATTAAAATACCTTTCAAAATCTCGAGGGCAGATTTCCATACACAGCCAAGTTTCAGGAGTGGAGTAATCCACAATGGATCCATAGATCCATAGCCCTAACAGATCCATTGTTTAATAACAAATAATTCCAAGTTACTTTTCTGAAAACAACTTTGAAGAATTCTTCAAGATATTGTTTTAACTCGACCTAACAGCTCCTATACTAACTCATAGCTTTGGGATCGAATGTATTAAAGAAGAAGCCTATTCTTTTCAACATACTCTGCATACCTACACATCGCTGCATTCTAATTTCCCTGCATTTAACTCTTATTCAAATGAAGTATTTAACTTATATCAATAATCAAAATTTCAATATATTAAGTATTATTATGAGATTACTACAAAGAGTAAGTACAGTTTATTTTTAGAGTAAGTTTCTAAAAATTCTCAATACTGAATATTTTTCAATATTGAAAAACTATCTACTGGATTATATTTGTAATTAAACGAATAACGATCAGGTAAGTAATCTCCATCGAATGAAGCTTAAAAATTGATAAATTTAGTATTCTTTACAATTCAACGACACGATTTCGAATGGTCTTAATAAAAATTGACTGACTCTTATATCAGACTCTACATTTTCTCATGAATCATTCAAATTTGATGGTTTATTCCACATAACAAAATATCATGTTTGAAACAAAAAATTAATAATGAAATAAATGTTAAAAGAAAAACTAAAATAAAAAGGATGTTTGCTTCCAACGTTTTTCTTCAAACATTTAATTTCGTAAAAGATTTATATGTCATAATATCGATTATTATGAATTAAAAATATTTTAATTAATTTGGTGATTTATAATTCCGTTTCATTTTAGGTTTCTTTAGGTACATAATCTGTTATAATCTTGAACAGAAAATTGAAAAATAAAACTTGAATTTAGAAAAAATCCGTGTTTATATCACAGATCCGATAGCCAGTTGAAAATAAATCTACTCGATAAGAAGAAAAACGAGATGAGAGCGGCATCAAAAGTTATAAATGGAACTTGAGATGATCAATATATGTATACTGTCAATACATATTTCGATATTGTCAATATTATTGAACATGTGAGGAAAGATATTGACATACTGTCAATATTTAAGTACTGAATAGTTTGTTGGAAACCGAAATACTATTTCTTTCTTAAAATCGGATTTATACTATCTTGAAACTAAAATTGTCAATAAATACTTAACAAACGAGATCAATTTAACTAAATTAACAAAAGTGATTGTCAACAAATATTAACAGTATTAATGATATACAGGGAGTTTCATTAACTCTGCACAGCATGATTTCCATTACTATTAATAGTACTAACAATGTTCATATTATTACCATTAATAATACTATGCATATTCATGTTATTATAGGGTGTCTCACAAGTAGTGTAGGTCCCTGAAATGGGGGGCAGCTGTAGTAAAGAAAAACACGGTCCAATCAGAGTGTGAGGATTACGCCCAGTAGTAATGCGTAGTACTGCAACGCGTGGTAATCCTACGCGTAGTCATCCAACGCGTAGTAATACACGTAGTAATACAGCGTGTGGGTAACCAACGCGCAGTAATCTAGCACATGCATATCCAACGCGTAGTAATCCAACGCGTAATAATGCAACGCGTGGTAATTCTAAGTGCAAGAATTTAATGCGTAGTAATCGAACGCGTAGTAATCCAGCGTGTGGATGTCTAACGCGTAGTAATCTAGCGCGTGGATATTCAACGCGTAGTAATGCAACGCGTGGTAATTCTAAGCATAGGAATCTAATGCGTGGTAATCTAACGCGTAGTAATCTAGCGTGTGGATGTTTAACGCGTAGTAATCCAGCGCGTATTAGTTCAACGCGTAGTAATGCAACGCGTGGTAATTCTAAGCATAGGAATCTAATGCGTGGTAATCTAACGCGTAGTAATCTAGCGTGTGGATGTTTAATGCGTGGATATTCAGCGCGTATTAGTTCAACGCGTAGTAATGCAACGCGTGGTAATTCTAAGCGTAGGAATCCAACGCGTGATAATCTAACGCGTAGTTAACCAACGCGTAATAACCCAACGCGTAATAATCCTCACGCTCTGATTGGTCCGTATTTTTCCTTAATAATTCAAAAACGAAGCTTCAAACACCATTTTCGCAAAGGGCAATATTATTCAGGATCACGTCAGCTACCTCCTATTTCAGGAACACTAGTTGTAAGACACCCTGTATTACTGATAGTAATAATAGCAACACTAATAATAATACACAAGGAATGTTATTAATACTACTATTCGAGAAAGAATGAATTGTTTGAAGCACTTTTTATCAAGGTAATATTCTTCAAAATTTCAAAGCCTCTTTTTAGAATGAAAATATTATATATATTTATATCTTCAGAGTGTTATAATTAAGGTTAAAATTAATTCACTGGCATATAATATAACCTTCACATGATCTTCCATCCACTGAGGATGATGATTCGAGAACAATAACTGACAATTGCAACGTTATTTACATTTTGTAAATTATTACATTATCTCTAAATATTCTCTATTTAAAAGTGCGACAAGTTCAATAATACTAAACATAAACATGTTATTCAAAGATAATTTAATATTAATCGAAATTTGAAAAATTATAATACTAACCACGTTTGAACACCTTTAATACATAATTAAAATAATTCATAAATAAATCCATTATTACTGGAAATATTATTTCCTTATTTTTGTGTCATAAAGAGATTTTGTATCAAATACTTCTTAACGCTTTGATACTGAGCAGTTATGGTTTATTGAATATTGTTTTCAAGCTTCGAAAACCTAGAGTGCTAGCCATAACAGAATACCTTTAATATTCAATAATCGACAAAATTATACAAAAATACCATTAGAAATCTTAAATGTACTTTGAGTAAAATCTCAATATGTACTTTGATGCTAGCATACAATTATATCTATAAAACGATTGTCTATTCGATCTGTGTTTATTAAATTTTTTTACTTAGCACAGTGTGTCTTAAACCATATATTTTTTAACACTTCACATTTTAATTCTTTAACATTCTAATTCTCCAAAAAATAACCATATCAAGAGAATGCTCTATATAAAAATTTGTTTTGAACATTGAAATATATTTCCCCTTCAAACCAAACAATTCATTCCTAAAACATTTTATCGTATTAATAGTAATGAAAATATCGTTCTGTCACAGAATTATACCCTCCATATTAATCATCTTAAATTCCCTCAAAATTCAGCATGTCTATTTAAAAGCCAATATGTCCAACGAAACCGCAACCTCTATATTCCTTGCTCTTAAATAACTTATGACAAAACAGAAACATTGGTTCTTACAACAGTTCATCACAATCCATTTAAAAGGAAAGGAACATAGAATGTAGAAAGCTCTTTTCGTTGATCATTACTGGTGTCGAAACAAAATCACGTAGCATTTCTATGTGATAACAGTGGCGTCAGTCATGCACAGATGGCGAAATTGTGCTAATTAATCGAAAGGAGAAGCTCAACACTTAGCATCACGGTTAGTTTTACTTGGGCAAACTCTTTCGGATTTTAAGGTTAACAACGATACGCACATAGTCTCACACCGACTGCTTCGTATTTCAACACCTTAGTTGCAAGAAAATCTTTCTTATAAACCTGCCGACTTATTTACGGTTCTAACTCGGAATTATTTCTATAAGATTTATTTTACGAGTCTATGACAGATATGGGCAAGTATTAAATTTCAAGGAACACGACAAACTCGAATACGATTTTTATGAAATCTATATGGAAAACAGTAAGATAATAGTTTTTTCTGAAAGAAAAATAATTTTTCATAGGTTGTCGGAAGAAATTACATATGAAATGTAATTTTTCATTTTTATACTTTACTATCCCCTCCCACACATTCACCCTCAAGTCAAGATACAAAACTGAAGCTTGGCATAAATTATTCTTTCTTGACTATCTAGATTTACATAATTATTATTAAAAAATAAGTGATTTTAGATCCAACTGTAAGGACTACTTCTACATGGTCGATGACGGATGAAAAAATACAGTAATTGTTTCCTTATCGAAAACGACAGCTCAATGGCAATAATATGTGTAGAAAAAAGCTCAGACTTGACAACATATTTCACGGTCATGAAAATCGATGAGAAATTATTAAAGCAAATTAGTACAAACTCGTAACACATCGTGCGTGAAGAACTATCTTCCATTTGGGTTTCATCATAGTCATCGTATACGAATTACAAAATAAGTTGTTTTAGTCCCAACTGTGAGGGCTACTACAACATGGTCGATGACTGATGAAAAAATACAGTAATTATTTCCTTTAGCAAAATCTCGATAACGATAGCTCAACGGCGATATGTGTAGAGAAAATTCGGACTTGACAACATATTGCGCGGTCATCGAAATCGATGAGAAATTACTAAAGTAAATTATCGATAACACGTAACAAATAGTGTGTGAAGTATCAATATTGATGAATTATCACACATAGTGATAAACTATCTTCCATTTGGATTTCATCATAGTCATCGTATACGAGTTTAATATGTTCCTTTGATATGTGCCCACACCTGATCTACGAGCATCCTAGGCCTCCTGTAGAACTGAAATAAAAAGAGAACAGGATGGTCGAAACGTAGCAGAGTTCTATCGATTCGTTGGGACATCTCGTCGATTATAACGGGTTAATCACGCAAAAGAAAAACACTATCTGGTTAATTAAAATGCCCATTCACACCTACGCTTTCATTCGCATGTTACGTTTATACTCTAACACGAACGTCACGTCACTAAATACACACGGACAACACTAACTCTCTTCTACGCTAATTTAAAACACTTACTGAATCGTCTTATTAGATTGCAGGTGAAGGATTCGGGGGTGACGTTTTCCTCGCACCTTAGGTCACATATCGTCGGGTCGTTTTTTGGAAACTTTAAATTTGGCACCGACAACAAGCGACCCTCTCTTTTCGCTTGCTTCATCTTCACGATTTTCTTCAATCTCGGAGGTTTCAATTCGTGCTCGGCTAACATTAGATTACCAGGGCGTACGAGTTCTGCTTTTTGGTGGATTTTGTCGTTTTGGAATTTAGGTAGTTTCGTATTGTCTCCTTCGATCATCGGACTCTTCGCTTCTTGGTTATTCGGGCTCTCATGGTCATAGCTCGAGTCTTCTGATGTTAATGAGGGGTCGGACTCGACCGGGGATAACGAACTCGCGGTTTCGTTAAGATTACAGTAAAAAACGGAAGATTTCTGACCACTACAATCGCTGCCTACCTGTTAACAATGGGGTACTTGTATATACTTTTCAGGCCTGTAAATTCGCGGTTTTTCGACACAGAAGATTAAACCGTCAATTTCGGAATTGTACAAATGCAAGATTTTGATATTTATTTGTTTTTTCCGAATTACAAGGGATAGTATGAACAGTTACGCATCGATTTCACTAAAATGGGAATAGAAATATTAAATTTACATTTGGTCGTTTACGTAAATAGTTCGTACAATTTTTGACAAAATAATATAACATTTTACAATGTGGAATTAAAAGATGAAACTTTGATTAAAATTCTGATCTGATTCTAATACTGATTTCAAGTTTGAAAATTGTTTTTCTGTGATTTATCTATGATTTTCGATACAAAAGTCATTTTTTCTTATTGCCTCTTACTGCTCTGTTTATTCTTCTTTGTTTAATGAAATCCTTTTTGGATTTTATTTTGCTTACTAATATTATTACTTTTTTTTAATTGAATAGGGTTACTGTCTAAATTTATAGAAACTCTTTATCTAATTAATAAAAACTTAAAACTTGGATATCATGTGCATAAATTATAATTAATAAACGTATTTGATATTGAATAAAAATTAATATCGTTGCAAATTAACAATTTTTATAAAAATTTTGCCTTCTTCTCTTTAAAGAAATTGTATTACTGAGCTTTCTAAAATCCTAAAAAAACATTAGCAATATTTGCAAAGTGCAAAATGTATCTTTTATTAATTTTATGAATTTTCTTTTGTATGTTATTTCTAAAATCTTAGTGAAATCAATGTGTGAAATACTCATATAATCTCCTTGCAAAAGAAATAAAAAATGATGTGAAAATATAAACGTTTCTCGGAAAAAGAAGTTTGACCCCCTGTGTTAAAAATGTTCAACGAATGAATTTAAAATGTTTTATAAAAATATTTTATATTACACTATTCAAATCTTTTTAAATTACTTATAAAAAAAATAATAGAGAATCTAATGTAAATATAATATTTGTAGAAAAACTGTTAGTAACTTTTCATGATTTCTCTCCAATATTTTAGAATGAACTGTTATGAACGTTTCAGTGGCTTCCAGTCAATAAACACTAAATTGACTTTTTTGTTTTAAATAATAAATTACAAAATACGCTACAAACGAAGAAAGCCATAATCTTGAAAACTGCTTCATCTAAAATCTTTTATGCATCTTCAACCCTTTTCGGTCGGAAGCGTGGCTAAACTTTTTTTTAAACGTTAAACGTTTTTTACATATATCAAGTTTTAGCTATTCAATTGCTTTGTAGATGTAAATTTATAAAAAAATATATTAATATATTTCGTGCTATATCTACCGTGCTTTGTCATTGGTGAATGTAAAATTACACTCTAAAAAAATTTCTATAAAAAATATTCAATATTCTGATATGAAATTTTAACGCATGTGCAGTTCATTTGACAAAGTGATTAATTACGTAAAACACGAAGTAGTAAAACTCGATAAAAAATACACAAGGTGCATAAAAACACCGTAACAATTTAATCTGCAATATCCTGCCACTCTATTATTAATATTTCCATTTCTAAATAATTGCAACTTTCTTATTAAAATAGAGCAAACCAAATTGCTTAAGTATAAATTTCATTAGATTGTTCAAAAAGTATATCTTTAATGATATGAAACTAATTTTATATATTTTGTTACAAAATAATACTGCATCCTAAATTACTGAATTTTAAGTACGCTCTTATGAAATTACACTACCATCCATATTATAAAATATTCAATATTGTGCTCTTATTTTCATCGATATGCAGGGTGTAAACTGTAACGCTACTCATGATATTTCTCCAACTTGCAGCCACCTTACGATAAAAAGTTTAGAACAATATTTGTAAGGTATAAAGTGCACAATAGATATTAGTAAAGCAAATTTTGAAAACAGTTTGTTCTCTTGGCAAAGTTAAGGTCACCTTGGGTTTTTTAAATAGGAACATACATTGTTTTTATTCATAGCTTTAGAGGACATCGAGACGAATTCAAAACACATATTACATGATATTTTTATTAACATATTACTCGATTTACAGAAGTGGAAATGCGAAGTAAAAGACCGGAATATTACGTGATGGAAGGCGGCATATATTTTGAACACGTAATTAAATAAAGCGTATTTTGCTTACATTCTAGTCGATTGTTTACATTCAGTAATCTCTTCGGAATCAAATAATGGTTACACTACCAAAGTCAAAAGCTAAGTACTTCACATTTCTTCTTCTGTAAATCGAGTAATATGTTAATAAAAATATCATGTAATATGTGTTTTGAATTCGTCTCGATGTCCTCTAAAGCTATGAATAAAAAAATGTGTGTTCCTATTTAAAAAACCCAAGGTGACCTTGACTTTGCCAAGAGAACAAACTGTTTCCAAAATTTGCTTCACTAGTATTTATTGTGCATTTCATACCCTGCAAATATTGTTCTAAACTTTTTTCGTAAGGCAGCTGCAAGTGGGAGAAAAATCGTGAGTAGCGTTGCAGGTAACACCCTGTATGCATTATTTTCTGATTCATGAACAAAATATAAGGTTCTAAAATTGAAATTCGTAGAAAACATTGGTTGTATAAAATCGAGTGGAAGGGTACTGTATGGAGTTAATCGTTGTAGTTTTTAAATAAGATTATTTAAGTAGCACAAAACCTTTCATTTAGTGTGGTTAAACGTGACTACTAAGAAAAACAGTATCATATAATCAAGTGTTTTAAATTAAAAAATGTGGTTAATCACTTTGACTCATTCAACATTAGTGTATAAAACGATTCTATAAACAATTCGACATGCAAACGACAAAACGTTGCACGAAATTTGTTAATATTAAGTAGTGTTACTCAACTACCTTGTCACTCAATCGAAAAAGGTTAAATTTGAATTTTGTCTGTATTATTCAAAGCTCTTGTATCACCTTAAAATATTCAGGAAAATTAATTGTATAAAGTCAAATAATACTAAAATATTCTAATATTTTCTGAGTAAAAAAGTAAATACTAGAATATTATTTTTTGTGGGAATATTTGTTAAGTACAGAATTTGTTAAGATTCCAAATTTCCATAAATTCTACTTTTTCGAGAAATAATTTTAGGTGATCAAGTTATCTCACTCTCTACTCGTAGCAATTTGTAAAAGTATTAAAAATCATACAAGTACCCCATCCTGAGACGTGACCAAAGTTGGCGTGAAAGTACTTTTTATTTTCAAATCAACTTTGCTCAGCTGCCTTTTCAGGCTGAATCCTTTCCATCCGTGATTCTTCGCGTACTCCTCCTCGTTCGTTGTGCCTTTATTCACTTCATTCACAGATTCCTCTGTGCTTCCTTTCTCGTTATTGTTTCCGGTTTGCTGCTCGCCTCGAAGTGAACATTGTTGTGCCTGAGAATGTGGAGCAGTGTCCGCTACCATTGCTAACAAGCCTTCAGATTCCACGGTAGAGTCTCGATGAGTCTGACGAATTCAACATGGTGGATTTTTGCATAATAAATCAGTACTGAACAACGTACAATCTTAATCTAATATCCTACAAGCAGATCATCGTAGAAATTCTAGTATTTACACTAATAGCCAAAATCGTTTTAACCACTTTACAGACTCAAAATTACATTTTACAGTATACAAGTCACATTGTATTAGTAATTAATAATATTCTGAAAAAAATGATTTCGTTAGTTTTGCACCTCACCGTAATAAACTTGTACGAAATAAAATTAAAAATTGATCATCAAACGGAGAAATATTGCAAACGCATGGTCACTTGTCACTTCCCAAAAGAACAGTTGGTCATAAGTACAGAAAAGGGAAGATTATCTTTCATTTAAAATTAATATAATAGATGCCTAGGATGCTCACAGAAACTTATGATACAAACGTTTCAACTTCTGCAATATTTTTCTATTACCTTAGCGCAACTTTTTAGTGAAATGGGACAAATTTCAATACAAAGAATATTTAATATGTATGTTGTAATAAAATGAAATATTTTAGGCCACAACTTTTACTGTAATTCACACAGTAGCAAGTCCTAATGTTAATTTTGTATTGTCCAAGTAACATCAATTCTGAAAAATAATTTCTACTGCAGTGTTAAAGTAATAATTTATAGACGTACATATTTAATAGATATTTTTACACTTTTGACAGAAAATAAGCGTGAGTTTGTAGGTGTTCTACAAATTGTAATAACATCGATAAATCAAAGTATGTTCATTAAAAATTGTGAAAAAAATCATGAACTTAAGATTGTAAAATTTATATTTTAATTAATTATATAATTTAGTACATAAAATATTTTTAGTTTCGTGGACTAACATTTCATATAAGTTCATTAAATAAATGACTTAGATAGAAATTAGTATAATTTGTTATATTCAATATTTGTATAGATATAGATGTAATATGTGAATCGACTGAAAATGCATTATTTATACGGAATTACGATTGTATAATATTTATATGGAAAATATACCCAAATTTCATATTTGCTTATGTTCAAACTTCCTGCATTTCAAATACACAGAGTTCTTGTGTAGAAACGTATCAAATGATATTAAATCTAAAATTGATAATCCCTAAATAGGCTACTTATGAGGTAGGTACCTTTTACTCGCATAATTTTCTTATTTTTATTGCATAGAAGATATGAAATTTAATTTTGTAACATCCTGTACATGTACGTTTGTTTGTACGTCTGTAAAGCTGGAAAATTTGCATTTTAATAGAACATAGATTCGATTAACTGTAGCATAATAGTGTTATTTAGACACAAGTGGATAAAAATGTCATGTAACATTTTCTCAAGATTTTCAAGATTTATATTTTAGTATAATAACACTGAAAAAGTAATACTATACTTCAACATATTTATCTTCTCCCATTATCACAACTTCGAGATTTCAAAACGTTATTGTTACCCCTTTTGTAAATTTGTAATGGCATTTACTTCTATTTTTACTTAAGAAAGGTAGATAAATATTCTATTACAGTGCGATATTACAGTATAATTTCATTATGTATTTTAATTATATGCAGCACGATTTAATATGAAATACAATATCATTAGCAGTATTTCATAATCATGTAACAATTATCGGTTAATTTCAGAGATAAAGTGCAAAGATTCCAGGTTCACAATCATTACATCATGCTCCAAATAATGAATGTTACATAATATCTTTATCCGTTCGTGTATTTAATTATAAAGACATAGTACACGCATTTTCATCGTTGATCATCGAATTAATACGAGGATAGTCGAGTATTAACTGCATTGTGTGAGGAAGACAGAGTATGAAATGCGTCCAATATTAGTATCTTAAAAATGTTAGTCACTAATCTCCTAAGCGAGTTCTATCGATAAAGAAACTGACAAACAGATCTTAATAAAATTTGAACCACTAAATTCAGTTCAGACAATTACTTGGTTAAATTTTTGTATGGTGAGTATATTTGAAAAGCTAAATATTAATATTTTTATCGTAACACATTTAATGTGGAGTCATGTGAAAAGTCGCACTTCTTTTCCATTTGTGTAATACAAAATATTTGACAAGTTCTATGTGGTAAAAATAAATAATGTAACTAGTTATATAATAAAAGTAAATAATAAGAAGTTATGTTATGATGAAAGTAAATAAATTAAGTAATCAGTTATATGATAAAAGTTAAAACTTATATGACATTATTTATTATTTCTCATTTATTGAACATGGAACATTAGAATATTATACGCTATATCAGTTTGTACGGGTATAAGTAAATTAAGTACAAAAATACATGTTGAACTATCAAAGTTTCGATAGAACTCCCTTAAATATCGCGTGCGTGACATGCAGTTAGAACATGCTCAAATCAACTGAAACAGTCACAGATAAAGGAGATATTCGGCTAATGTTGTACTATTTTAATAACAAAATAGTTTATATTTTATATTTTTCATATTTTTTCATAAGGCACTCTACTTACGAGTAAGTAATTATATGTATATTTTACATTTTTTATATGTAATACAGTATATTAGTCCAATTTTTCAATTAACCAGTTAAGTGTATTTGACGACTATATCCGTCATGGAGATGTGGCAGAATTTTTTGTCATGACGACTATATCCGTCATGCGTAAAATTCTGTTACAATTTCATATTTAAACTGTAATTTTGGCGAAAACTAAATTATATTCGTAAATTGTAATATGTTTAAAATGTTTAGAGGTCAACACGAAATGAAATAAACAAATAAAAAGTGTAAATGATTTGAGATGGATTCATAAATTCTTGAGAGCTAACTCTCCATCGCTTGATTATCGCGACACACACTGGTGCGCGCTTTGCAAAAAGATCGCCACAGTTAACTGGTTAAATATTAGGAGTCAGTACTATTATATTTCTTCAATTTAGTGTTTAAAAAAAAATGCAATTATCTTTGAAGACTATAACAAGAAAATTATTAGTTTTCATCAATAACGAAAATGCGTGTGGTTTTTATGATGGTTATGTTATAGTAACTAATTAGACTTGTATTCTTAAAAATATCCTCTTTCCAGCTTTGTGCAATAAACCAAAACCAAATACGGGCTGTTTGATAAAATGGGCTATGAAATTCCCTCATTTTCTAAGCCGCCATAGTTGCCTGTGAAATTAGGCATGAAGTAATCGTGATAAATTGTGGTAAAGTATGTAGAAGATGCCTAGTCGACCCATTTAGTAGATGCTTTCTTCCTCCTTGTTAATAGGATAAACATTATCGACGATGTAATAAGAGCTTTGATAATTGACTTTACTGGCTTATACTTTGAAAATTGACTTTGCTGACTTATACTTTGAAAATTGACGTGGATTATAGGAACTTCAAATGTAATCGATTATAAAGAAAAATATAAGGTAAATTATAAAGAGGTAGTTTTTTACTCTTTCTTCGTTGAATATTTTCATCTGGATGTTTTTTGTAAAATTTCTGTGCAGTAAAGATTAATGTCAATTTTATGGTAAATTAAAATTAGGAAGTATGGGAATCTATAAATTTGAAAATTTGGAGATTCAGAAATTTTTTAATTTTTGGATTTAGGGATTTCAAATAGTTGACATTTTTGGAACTTGGGAATTTGTAAAGATTTAGAAATTTGAGAATTTGAGAGTTGGAGAGATTGGAGAATTTCGGTATTGGGAAATTTGGGAATTTGAGAATTTGAAAATTTGAAAGTTTGAGTATTTGAAAATTTGAGAGTTTGGGAATTTGAAAATTTAAGAATTTGGAAATTTGATAGTTTTGCGAATCTGATAGATTGAAAGTTTGAGAATTTGGGAATTTGAGAATTTGAGAATTTGAGAATTTGAGAATTTGAGAATTTGAGAATTTGAGAATTTGAGAATTTGAGAATTTGAGAATTTGAGAATTTGAGAATTTGAGAATTTGAGAATTTGAGAATTTGAGAATTTGAGAATTTGAGAATTTGAGAATTTGAGAATTTGAGAATTTGAGAATTTGAGAATTTGAGAATTTGAGAATTTGAGAATTTGAGAATTTGAGAATTTGAGAATTTGAGAATTTGAGAATTTGAGAATTTGAGAATTTGAGAATTTGAGAATTTGAGAATTTGAGAATTTGAGAATTTGAGAATTTGAGAATTTGAGAATTTGAGAATTTGAGAATTTGAGAATTTGAGAATTTGAGAATTTGAGAATTTGAGAATTTGAGAATTTGAGAATTTGAGAATTTGAGAATTTGAGAATTTGAGAGTTTGGGAGTTTGAAAATTTAAGAATTTGGAAATTTGATAGTTTTGCGAATCTGATAGATTGAAAGTTTGAGAATTTGAGAATTTGAGAATTTGAGAATTTGAGAATTTGAGAAATTGAGAATCTGAGAAATTGAGAATTTGAGAATTTGAGAATTTGAGAATTTGAGAAATTGAGAAAATTGGGAATTCCCAATGAAATTGGGAATTCTACACTCTATATGAATATTTTACAAAATCATTTGCTGTCAAGTTTAAGTAAATCGTAATTGCAAAAATAATTATTATTCTCAGTATGACAATGACTCTAATTAGCTTCTCAGAACAGAAAAAAATAAAAGAAGATTGAAATTATATAAAAGAACAGAAATATTAAGAAAATATTAATTTTAATAAAAATTTATACGAATATTTGGATCAATATAAAAAACAATATATAACAAAATATAGTATATTATACAAAAGTTTAGTACATATACCATATTACTTAAAAAGCATAGTTAATCGTAAAGATGGTACAACAAAATATTAGTTTTTAATCTATAATAGTATTCTTTTTATTATTATGTAAGTTCAAATTTTTTCTTAGCGTTAATTCTGTGATGATTTATTTAATCTTCATTTTATCGAAGTGAGTTCAATGAACTCACACACCTTAGTTCTTTTTTAATTATGTCTAAATATTATGTCAACCTATTCAAGCACTAAATCTAGCTCGAT